AAGTCAACTCTGATCCCAGTGTTGGATGAATTCATTTACTTTAGTGTAACAGTAATTTCAAAACACACTATATATATTTATCATGAGTGAAAATATCTACATCCATCTTTTCTCACACTGTCTCCATGAATCAAACTCTGATGCTGTCTGCTTTTTGATTCAAACTTAAACCTCTCTTTGTTCCCCTTGCTGTCTCCATTAATTACGCATAGTCTGCACTTTCACAGCCCTTCGTCCATCAGTACACAAACATCGCTCATATGCACCGCTCCGCAGCTCAGAGTTTGTGTTCATGTTTTTTTAAATATTTTAAAACTACTCTCACTTAAACTCAGCCCTCTGAAGTTGTTTCTAAAACCAGAGGTCTTCCAGCTGTTCAACAGGCATATCTACAGAAGCCCTAAAGGGACATACATCCATATTTGAATTTTGCTCTTTTGTGAGTACATGTTGAGTATGTTGAGTTTTTTTTGTTTTCTCAGGATCTGGATTTGTATTTATCATATCTCAGGATAACATCACTGGTATTCATGTTATAAAACTTTGCAAACTAGATTTGTTTATAACTTCTCTTAGATGTTTTATTTGTAAATTTGTGTTTTTTGAAGTCTTGTTTTATGTGCCTAAATGTTCTTATGTCAAGTGTTTTAGATAATGTCTTACTGAATTAATAAAGTATTTATAATTCTGATTGTAGCTGCTGTAACATTTTCATTTCCTTTAAAGTCGCCTTAAGCTTTTCGGGGTTGATTAAATGTCATCATCGCTGAAATGAAAACGGCAGAAACAGCTGCTGCCGTGAAGAATTAGGAATTTTGTGCCCTCGACTAATCGCAGTAACCCAGTAAACTCGCAATCCATCATCCAATGGAGAGACATGTAAAATTAAATTAAGATGAGTTTGCCTGTCATTTCATGAATAATGGACACTACAGCAATATCTACAACTTGAATTCTCCACGGTTGAACTAAAATGTAGATGGCTTCTTTCAACAGGAGCACTAGAGACCGGGAAGTTCTTCTTCTCCGCTCTGAGAACAACACAGCGTGAGAAGGATCTATTGTTGCAGTTTAGTAAAATGATTTTTTTGCAGATTAATCCCTCAGACTTTTGTTTTGTTAAACAGCTCCTTCATTCAGCGTCTCATTCCAAGATGGACACTTTCAGTTTGTTTGCTGAAAGGAAAGCTGATATTAGCAGATTTCCTCTATTGTTGTTGATTAAACTAGCATATGCTAAGCTAATTAAACTAGCTTGGTTTTTGTAAACAGGTTTTCTGAATACTTTTTGTGTGTGTGTTAAATGGATAACACACACACACACACACACACACACACACACACACACACACACACACACACACACACACACAACACACACACACACACACACACACACACACACACCACACACACACACACACACACACACACACACACACACACACACACACACACACAACACACACACCGTTGACATTATAGTTGACCTCTCCAGCGTAGTGCAGCAGTCTGAATTCATCACGGCCCATTACCTTCCTGGTTTTTCCATCAGCCAGCTTGTGACTGCAGGGAAACACACACACAAAGAAACAAACACACAAGTCAAACGACTGTAACAAGTTCAGTGATAGAAGACCAAACTGCAGCGTTGCATTCGTTTTAAAGGACAGGAGCAGGACTCAGACTGACGTGACAAAGTGGGCGTGTCCTCCCACTGTGTCCTCCAGCTTCTCCAGGAAGGTGAAGTCACTGGCGTCTCCGGGTCTCAGACACTCCTCGTCCTGTGAGAGGAGGACAGAAAGAGCAGAGAGGGTTCATTGTCTTACTTTATTACATGTTGGCTACTATACTATGGCTGTGCAACAACACTGATACAGCAACGTTTTATGTTTTCATGATACTGCATCAACACATTAACCAGATGTGTTTTTAATCCTCTTAAATTCCTGTAATCACAAAGGTGTCTCTGTGGCTCCTTCAGCCTAAAGCTGCTGCGAGCAATTGAGAGAACAGAATCAAACATAAACTCAAAACCACCGGCTACATATGACTATTGAACGCACAATGCAGTATGTGCTACAGCCTCCACTTACAGTCTGAAAAAAGCTGAGAAATGATTGATTTTAATTTTCAAGATTATAAGAATCCAAAAAGATAATTGGTGGTATCTTTGTGTGGTTTGGTCTGGTTGTGATTATTTCCTTTGTTACGATGGCCATTGCTGTAAGTCATTTCGATCTTTGACCCGGTGCTTTGCATTGTGGGAAACAGATCGGGAGAAGACTGGTCTGATGTATACTGTAGATTTTCCCAAATTAGTATATTCAGGTATTATTGTCAAAATCAGTACGTACTCGTGGTTTAGTTGGAAGTTTCGAAAACAGCCTTTTACAAGCTTATCCAATTCTGGGATGTAATTCTTCAGTCTTTGCTTTATTTAGTTTTTACTTAAAGCCTGATGTATATAAAGTATATATATATATATATATACATATATATACAGTATGTTTGTCTCCTCACCAGAATGGAGATGATGCCTTTGAACTTCTCCTCCACCAGGTCACAGATGATCTTGTTGTTGAAGTACTGCACCGGCTCCCACTACACACACACACACACACACACACACACACACACACACACACACACACACACACACACACACACACACACACACACACACACACACACACACACACACACACACACACACACACACACACACACACACACACACACACACACACACACACACACACACACACACACACACACACCACACACACACACACACCACACACACACCACACACACACCACACACACACACAAAGAGAAAATGAATACAATAATGGGCACTGACTGGCGTTATCCAGAAATATGAACATCTCTAAAATGTGTTTGTTGCTGCTTTTCTTCACATTGTACTGAGTCAGCAGCTCTGTTTAAGTTGAGTCTTGAGTTCTGGTGTTAAGTCCACACTGAGCTCTACCTGTAAACTATTCAGTTTGTAACTTTGGTTATTGTTTGGTAACCATGGAGACACAGATTTCATCTTAACTTGAGCAGCATAACATCCAAACTAACCAAAATATTGTGTCAGAAATTAGTAGTTTTTTTTCTAAAGTTTATTTTGGGGGTTTTTATGTCTTTATTTTAGAGACAGGAGAAGTGGATAAAGTCTGAAATCAGGGAGAGAGAGAGTGAGGAATGACATGTGGAGAAGGAGCCTCAGGTCGGATTTGAACCCGGACAGCACTGCTTGAAGGACTTTAGCCTCTGTACATGGTGCGCACACTAACCACAAGGCTACTGGCGCCCCAGAAATACAGTTTTAAATTGACGTGACCAATCAGTGAGCAGCATTTTACTTCCTGTAGTGTTTGTTTCTGTGTTTACTCTCGTCTCTATCTGTCTCTGAAAAGACAAACAGCTGCAAATAACTTATGTTAACCAACAAACAGAACCTTTAGAAGTTGAACTTTATCTTCCAGTAGCTTGGTGGTAGCGTCGCTGTTTTCTGAATCAAATGTCTTTTCAGTAGCTGTTTAATTTATAGAGTAGTGCTCTAGCGTCCAACCAAGCTACACCAAAGTTGACGCCAGTAGATACACAAATTTGTAGTGGACAGTCTACTTCCATATAACAATGACATCACTGTCTAATCCTCGATGACCACGACCCTGCAGCTGACGAATAGCAGACAGTCTAGAGCGTAAACTTTGTCCTAAATTAGAAATTAAGTTCAAATTCGGCTATGATTGAACTCACACAGAGCTGCTCAAACAAAGAGCCTGAACATCATTTCAGACTTTTAGATACAACTACAACTATTCTAAGCTGTCTGATGACTGTAAATGTAGTTATGTGCAGAATGTCAGGCATCCTGGCACACAGCCTTGCTGCTCACCCACTTGTATGTGGACACACATGGACGCTGCACAGTTAGCTTATGTGTGCACTAACTGGCACATCATTTGCACAGAGAGGTCGGAAAGAGAGAGAGAGCAGCCCACAGTCCTCATGTCAGATAATAATGGGCTCTTTGAGAGGTCAGTCCAACTGTCTCCCACAACCTGCGTCCTGACCAGTGCATTTTTTACCAGACCTAAGACAACAGGCCCTTGTTACAAACACACACACTGTAACAAAAAACAAACATAAAAGTGAAGAATGTAAATGCAGTGGAGTTGTGTTATATCGGTGCTATAGTAAAAAGGCTGTTACAATAATCCAGCTGTGAGGAAATAAAAGCCTGAAGAACTTTTTCTGTGTTGTTAAAAGATAAATATTACATGATCTCCGAGACGTTTCCCAACAGACTCCTCTTTTGTGATGCCATTTTTTTAAGCACCACTTAAGATTTTTTACTGTGAATAAATTAAAGGCATCATTACTCTGACAGTTTAATGAAGCATCCTCTATAATTAGAGCACTTATTGTAAATCACAGTAAGTGAAAGCCTCCACAGTGATTCATTATTATAACCCATTTCAAGATGGAAAACACAACTGCAGCTACAATGACTTCAAGAGCTTTTATTAAGCCTAAACTGACTGAAGGAGGAGAGACGAGCAGGTTAAGAAAGGTGACGAGTTTCAGAAGTGCAGGATTAAAGGTTAACAGTCACTGACAGTGAAACTATAAAAAAAAACTTTCTAGAATCTAGTTTGTATTAATATCTGTTAACTATATTTGTCTGTGGCACTCATAGTTAAGTATAAGAATGATTAAATATCCGACTCTGTGTTGCATGAGAGCGAGAGTGTGGATTTGAAGTGTCTAAAAAATGTAAATTCTGGTTGCCGTTTTTTGTTTTGGATTTTGAAAATTTCAAAAAAAAATCAGAGAATCGAAAAACACCAAGTACTTTGAGTTTTCTGTTGTATCGTTCATCACAAGAAGTACACTGATTTACACAAGTTTGGAGTGCATGGAGGAGAGCTTGTTGACGGTTATCGTCTCTCACACCTCTGTCACATTAAAAACTTTTGACTGTATCAGCAGATGCACTGATGTTAATTAAACTGTGGAGTGGGTGTGCTGTTGTGCATCCTGTGTGTGTGGAACAAACTCAGTAGAAATGCACTGTGGACTCTCTGATGTCTGCCCCTCCTTCTAAAGCTTCCTCCAAATATCAGGAACATACTGCACCAGACTTAGACTTTAGACCAGGTTTTAGTTGGTCTAAGGTGCGTCCTCATGAAAGGACCGCACCTCATTTGAGGGCCAACACACTCCTGGGGCGCTGATAAGGAAACAAGCTCATTTGCTATTTACACAGTTTGAGTGCTGGAGGAACAAAAAGGGTGTGTTAACATGAGGGAAACAAAGAGGAGAGAAAGTAAAGGATGTCTGACCGTGATGCCTTCAGCCTCGTACTCCTCCTGCTCCGACTTGAGGGTGAGCTCGATGAAGAGCTGCTGCAGCTTCTCGTTACAGTAGTTGATGCAGAACTGCTCAAAGCTGAAACACACAACAATAAACACAAGGTCTGAATGAAAAGAAGACAAAGCACACTGTTACAAAAATAACGTCATTTCTTAAATAATTCAGACGCTCAGTTCATTTTCATTTAAAGAAAGTGCAGCAACATTTATATCTCCATTTAATTGTTCTTCTGTCCCTGTCTCTCTACAGTAGGAGGGGATATGCCCCCCTTCAGCTATTTAAATTTCTAAGTGGAGCGAGATGGTCACAGTAAGCTTCATGACAAGACTCAAGTAAAACTATATTAAGAGTTACAGGAATTAAAAGCTACTTAAAGCTGTCTAACACTGTAAAACAAAACAATCACACTTTTACTCCATCTTATTTCAGTCAGCCTCCTATGAAATCTTAAGCGTGACGTTGTGGAGAGTCGATGTGGGATAGCATCAGGTTATATTCAAGTGATGACCATTATATTCTGCCTGTCAAACTTTACCTGTTGTGCTGGAAGACCTCAAAGCCGTAGATGTCCAGCAGCCCGATGACAGAGTAATTCTTGACAGAGTCATCCTGTTAGAAAAATAAAAAATATATACTTAGAAGAGGACACATTTAACTTATGGATAAAGATTTGACCTAAAAATCATAATTTCAGAATGAAATAGAGGAATTATATTAAATATGTCTCCCAGTCACTCAGTAATAATGTATGTTTAAATAAATAGCTGACACAGTAAGAAGACGATGTTTTGATCATATATTAAGTCATGTTGGGTCATGTTCTTCTTGTGGATATATAAATGTCCACAAGGTGGAGCTGTGCTGCAAAAGATGAAATTTGAACAGGATCTGATTGCACAACAGTGTTGGATTAAAAATTAGCTAAATATTTGTCACCTGTATTTCATGCGCCAGGTGTATACTGTAGTGTAGGAATGAGTTCATGAAAAAAGACAAACAAACCCCTGCACAAATTCATTTAATTTGGAAAATTGCAGGAGTTTGTCCGGATTTTCATTTTGATGGAATCATTCCTCTACCAAACCATTTTAAATCAAAGAATTGTTCTCATGTTTATATCCTGGGTTAAAAACAGCCTGATACTTAAATTAGGGTAAGCAGAAACATACACTATAGTGGAATAAAATATCATTTGAGTGGTTCAGATTTATATTGGAGGTTTCTAACAGCATTACTGAAAGGATGCTAGAGAGATAATCCTTTTGCTTAAGCAGTAAAACTTAAATAAAAAACAGAAACAGACATTAATCCCTCTCTTTAAATCATTTTTTTTATCAAAAAGGCTCCTTTCAAATAGGCAATCATTTACTTTTTGAAGAACATGTAAGATGTTTGTGTGTCACATAAAAACAAAGCAACAAAAAACTGGTCGAGCAGTTGTAGACGAGCAGAAAGATGGCAAAACAAACACAGACTTTTAGTGCAGCCACTTTGATTGGATAAACTATGCTACAGGGGTTATGGTGTAACCCAGTAACTCACATATTTAGAGCACCGAGTTAAGGCGGTTTGCACAGCAAGGCTAAATAAAACAATACGCACGGCCCTGTACTGCAGGGAAAGCATCACTTACACCGCCTTCAGGATGAAAGGCTCCACAGGTACGGACAGATTTATGTATCTTCAGAAAGAGTTTGGGAACCACTAGTGTAACCGTTACAGCTTACTGAGGCTGCTTGATGAATAAACCTACTTCTAAAGCATTAATTCCTTAAAGTTATTTAAACCCCAAGATTTGTAAAAATAAGAACTAGGTTACAAAATACAGGAATTCCCCTTTGATTAAAAAAAAACATCCTTTATGAGAACTTTGCAAGCTTGTTTTGCGTTTCCAAAAAAGTTCAGCAATCAGAGAAAAGTGTTTTGAGACGGACTGCTGTGCACACCAATACACAAAAAAACTCAAAATATCTGTAGTATACATGCTAGGCCAGTAGTTGGCGGTGTGGTCTTGTAATGAAACAACATGCGCATATACTCTTTTTTTTTCTACAAAGCGGAGCGGTGTAAACAAACAAAATTGACTAACAAACAAATGTTTGAGTTTAGGGATGTGGGGTTGCTACTCCGTGTGACTCTAAACTGAAAAGCAAGTACATTTCAAGTCGACTTGGAGTCATGCCAGAACTAGTACTACGACATCCAACATTGTTGTTGTCCACCTGCTTGTTCATGGCTACTGACAGGAACCAAATGAGCATATCTACGTTCAGAGGAACTCTGCATATTGCCGATGTACATGACGACAGAGACGGGGCCATTTTCAAAAGATTGCACTCTGGAAACTGTTTTCAAAACATTAAATTTCATGCACAAAACATTGTTGCATTGTGAACAAACACCAAAACACATGGTTGCTGTCTTTAGCAGAAAATTGTTGTGTAAACAGGGAGTGAGAGTACCGTGTATGTCAGTGAAGCGTTGATCTTGTTAACCAGCCAGGTGAATGTGCGTCCGTACACTGCCTTAGACAAAGCATCCCGAGCTGATGACGCTTGCTCCAGGTTCAGCGGGCTCATCAGCTGATGGGGGAAAAGACACACACACACACACACAGACACACACAAAGACACACACAAAGACACAAACACAGAAACAAAAACATGCACACGCAAGAAATACGAGGACAGAGAGATAATAACAGTGTTACACAGCAGCAACAGTCAGACAAGTTAGAATATCATTAAAGTGGAGCAGACATTACACAGACAGGAAAGGTTTGTATACAAATGCTTATCACACACTTGTTTGACAATGAGAGTTTGTGTCCAGACTAACCTCCTCTCCCTTGGCGATTATCTTCTTGTGTGTGAGTGCCTCTGTCAGCACCGACCCGTTCACCCCTAACAACTGTAAGAGCACAACAACTTTAGCACAAATCACAACCAGCCTCAACAAAGAAACGTGAACGACCTCCAGTCGAGTAAACAGACACCAAAGACAGTGTCAGACTTCAAGCAGCTCATGAGACCGGGGATCTGTCAGATGATGAATAATGAGATAATAAGAAATGTGTTGTATCCAAAGTATATTCATTTACACCGCTGAAAAATATTAAAGGGACACTTGATCGTCACAGTATAACACCAGGACAGTTGAACTTCAGGGATATCAATATGCTAAAACAAGATAACCCCCCCAAACAGGGAGTGGTCTTACACGTGGTGGTTACAGACAGTTTATCTCTATCCTCATCCATCCTGACTGATTCTTTTCTAGTTTTGTGTTCTGCTACAGTCCTTATCACTACTGGTAGCATGAGACGCTACCTGCAGCCCAATCAGGTTGCACAGGTAGTCCAGCTCCTCCAGAATGTCACAGAGGAGAGACCAACAGACCAGCAGTTACATAAGGAGAGCTGGACTGGGCTGTAGGAGGGGCATCAACCCAGAGGCAGGACCGCTATGTGCTCCTTTTTGTAAGGAGGAGCACTACCAGAGTCCCTCTATAAGGCTAATGGTGTTCATGTCTAAGACCAAACTGTCAGAGACAGACCTTAAAGGCTTTATATGTGATTTTTTACACTTAAATATAATAGAAATCAAATATATCCTCTGAAAATAACTCTGTGAGTCATGACTGTCTACAATGGGTGTAACACCCGAGTCCCACTGTCTGTGATGTTTTCAGAGTTTTCAGAGTCATATCTTCACTTTGTTTACATCGCCCGGACAGCCGGCTGACTCCTCCCCTCACATATAAAAGTAGTTTAATTGAGGGACTAGAGAAAAGAAGAATAACATACTGTACTCACTGCTTAACTGTGTTTCTAGATCACGCTCATTTCAGGTAAATTTACATGCAGTGTGAAGATACGAGCATGATAAAGATCGCTAGCATTAGCATGCTAACACAACAATGCAGCGCGAGTTGTTTTGGTTTCATGCTGGTGCTCAAGGGCGACACCTGCTGGACCAAAAAATCACATAAAGCCTTTAATGAGGGTGTCCTCTAGTAGAACCTGTGCTCACTGTGTCATTATCCTGCTCTCTGTCTGGTAGGCACACACACCTCTCTTCTCCTCTGCTTGTACTTGTCCAACATCCCACTACTGACATTTCAGTCCTGTTTTTTGTATCATCCAAAATGTACAGAGCTAGTACTGCAAGAGTGTTCTTCATAAAAACTAGCCTGAGCCTTTGTTAGGAGTGATTCTGAACCTCTTACCCTGGCCAGGTACTTTATCTGTGTGTCAGAGGTGATGCAGGCGTTGCCCTCCTCCCCGCCGTACTGCACATTCCCCAGGTGGAGCACGCTGGCGATGATGTTCAACAACTCCTACATGTAGAAAACACAAAAGAGAGGGAGAGAGAGAGAGGGGGTGAGGCCAAGAGAGGACAACACAGGACGAAGAATTAAAGATAAGGAGTATGAGGAGATGAAGGGTGGGGACATAAAGGAGGTGAAAAGGACAAAGGTGGGGAGATGAGAGAGGCTGCCGCACGGTGAGATTAAACAGTTCTGAAGTTACTGCCGAGGTTATCTTTATGAGAGACACAACAGATAAAGTCGGCTTTGACACAAACTCTGCAGAAGGAATCGTCTAAAGATGTACAGATATAGTTTTTCTCTATTCCACTATTCCAACACCTTGATTAATAGTGTTTGTTACACAGTGTTATGTGGCTGTTATTAAATGGTGAGAACTTATTTGTGCTCAATGTGGGAGATTTTAAATGTGTTGGCTGATACAGAGTATACACTTCCCGTACCAGCCTGTCAAACAAAAATATACGTATTAATTCTGGAAAATTACTCATGGCTGACTAACATTAAGCTCTCTGCCTGCACCATGACATTGTTTAATTGAATCACTCAAATTTGGCTGCAACAGGTAAAGTTTGTGGCAGGGGCAGTCAGATTGGTGCACCACCTGAAACTGCATTCTAGGCTGTACTGGAGGCCGATAACGATGCTGCTGCTTTATCAAAAATAGTGTTTGTACATTAGCTCGTTAATGCTCGATAGCACGTCTGCTTGTGCTCTCTCCGTCGTTCTGACACACACACACACACACACACACACACACACACACACACACACACACACACACACACACACACACACACACACACACACACACACACACACACACACACACACACACACACACACACACACACACACACACACACACACACACACACACACACACACACACACACACACACACACACACACACACACACACACACACACACACACACACACTCCTCCTGATCTCTGCCTGGTGGCACACACACATCTCTGTTTTGAATGTAAGACATACAGCCACTAATATTTAAGTCAGTCTCGCTCAGCAGTGAAAAAAAACCTCATGTGTTGTCAGAGTTTATATTCTCAAAGATCTATTATAAGCTTGTCAACGTCTCATCTTTGTTGCGGAAAAAAGGTTGTTGACGAACATATTTTTTGTTACTGTGTTAACACTTCTACGGACTGAGGGGAATCACCACGATTCATTGAGTTAAACGGTCTTTAATATTATTTCTGCACAACTTTAATGCTGTCTACATTTTGCAAGTTGTGCCGTAGCCCCTTTGTAAGATATATATATGTTCTACACAGGGTTATTCAACAAAATCACCTGCATCATCCACTCTTGGACTGTTTTCAAGGGTTTCAGAATCGAACAGGATATAAATGTGCAGCGAGTTTCAAACTGGAGCCGCACACACTCACACCTGCTCTTCCCTCAGAAGCTGTGTGAGATCTAAGAATCCCTGGCAGCCGGCCCAGACTCGTGAACATGTAGGAGGACTCCCACACAGAGCACAAATAAGATCTCACCATTTAATAACAGCCACATGGCACTGTGTAACAAACACTATTAATTAAAAACTTCCACACTGTAAGTCTGTATATGGAGTAATAAAACCTCTTTATTGTAAAATCTGTTGTGCAGCCATGAAAAGTCTCAATCTTAAAAATCGGTAATCTAGGGAAAACATGTGGGGACAACAATGTGTCAAAGAAGTGAAAATTATCTAAGAATTACATTCTCTGTACAGCTATAAACATCAACTAAGTTTTCAAAGTTTAGGGGTCAGAGCTACCACCTGCTGCATTTTGTTCAGGCCAAAGAGAAAACTCCTGCACTGAAGTGTTTTTGTTTTTGAAGTGCACAAATTAAACACACTCCTCAAGTGTTTGAGAACGTTGCAAAGAAATCAATGCATCCAAATGAAATCAAAGGCAAAATGAATTATAATTAAGACTGATAAATCAGACTATAAAAAGATTGAAGTTCGTCAGCAGAGTAACTAAAGACTAAAAACTGGGGCATGACGACGTCACCCAACCATACTGCATCAGTGCCCTACAGTACACATCGCATGTGAGCCTTAACAGGGACGTCAGTATTCTGTCTTTAAACAGCGATCTGTAAGCGACTTATGTGTGAAGGAGCTATCTTTGAACACATCCCTTGTCCAGCTGCCTCATCAACCCAACATGCTGTTTTTCATGAGATCATTTTTGTGTACAACGTGTAAAAAAAGTTAACTTAAATTTCCATTTGAAAATCAGATTTAGAGATTACATCTGAAATGAAGTTCATGTACAGAGAATGTTTTGGTTTCAATATGTTAACAGGGTTATTAGTAGTTTTGAGCCTGAGATTTCCTCTTGTTTACACCTCAACACTCCTCTGTGTGAGGGAACAAACACATCCGTCATGATTCACACAGCTTTCAGACTTACCTCCACATCGTCCTCGTTGAAACCGATCACACTCAAAGCTTTCCGCACCACCTTCCAATCACTGCGGTCGTTGATGGAGCTCACTTTGGGACAGTTACCCTTTAGAAAACACACAAACATAGAAACATCAACAACAGATCCATTAAAAGGCCAGCCGATAATATCTGCTGATATGAGCATATCAAGTGACTATCAGTGTCGGATAATTTTATTGAAGCTTTGCGATGATATTTGTAGATTTATCGGTATCGATATCGGTCCAGAAATCTTTAATTAATTTAATAATTTATCGGTCGGGTCCTACTCTGAACACAGAGTGAAGTTTCTGTGCAAACTCAATAAAGTAGGTGAAGTGTAAATAGGTCTTAACATGTAAACACCTGTTTATATGTGATGTAAACACCTATTCTGGCAAACACAAGTTAAGTGTTGTTGCTCAGCAGCTGTGTGTGTGTGTGTGTGTGTGTGTGTGTGTGTGTGTGTGTGTGTGTGTGTGTCTCTATGAGGGAAGGTACAGCTCAAGCCTTAAGGCTGATTTTCTCCCTGAGGAAAGTTGCGCCCATCACACTGAGAGAGCCTATTAACCACGACTCCCACTGGACACACACACACACACACACACACACACACACACACACACAGACAGTGAGAAAGAGAGCAGTTTCTTCCCTGCTGTATTTACAGCCTTGTTAGACTTAAGAGCCACATTGACAAAGAGGCACAATCAAAAAACCTCTTTCTTTCCTAAAATATGTGTGGGAAACACAGTGACATGACTTGCAAAGAATAATTTCTGCAGACAATGTTTCCCTTTCTTAAATAATTACTTACTATCTAGTCCCAAATGAGCCACGTGTGGGTCGAGAGCCGCGGGTTGAGTATCACTGCTCTAAAGCTACGAGCTGATTCGGGTTCGATTCATTAAAATGCAGATCGATTCATTGTGAATGGATTTGATTTGATCAAATAAAAATATGTTTTTTACTTTATAGAACTGATTAAAAAAGATTAAAGCTAAATTATTTCAAAATAATGTGTTCGTTACTTTTTTTTTTAAGACACACAAGACTTTTCCATTTTTTTCTTGCTAACTTTTGCTAATAGGTTAGCTATTTATTCAAGTACATATTACTCAATTTGGAGAGCAGGTATGTGATTGGAAAAGGACAAAAAAGCTGCAAAATATATTGATCACAGAGCAGGGAAGAACAAACAGCCCTTTTGACCTCTTTTGTCTTTTGGTTGAAGATGTAAGCCCTTCCATTGTGTTTCTCGCACCACACATATAGGGACAGTACTTCATCTTCCACTGTGCTGCTTCTGATGAACTTGAGGACTTACTTTGACCAGGTACTGGTACTGCTGAGGGTTCCTCTCCAGGCCGAGGCGTCTCAGCAGGTCCTCCTCTCCTCCCTCGATCAGCTGGTAGAAAATGTGGAAGTTTCTCTCGCCGTGGTTCTGGTGGGCCACGCGGGATTTCTCCAGCAGGTAGTTGATGATGTGGCCTCCTACGGGGGCTCCCTGCCGACGGGATAAAAGCCGGGGGGAGGTGGGGGAGGAAGGGGAGGAGGAGGAGAGGATGAGGCTGGGGTACTGAGGTTTGACGTAGGATTGATACAGAGTAACATGCAGGTCGACAGAGTTTTTAATGTCCATTACTGATCTCTTAAAATGAACTGAACATAGTCAGATTTCACTTTTTGAAATGTTAATGTTAAATCCAGCTTTAATTAAGGCATCTTTAATGAACACTTTCACTAAATGAAGCTCCTTCGAGGAACTCATTCAATATAATTTATGCACCCCCTGTGGACAAAGAGGAACCTCTAATCTCTCTGCTGATTATGTCCTGTCCATGTGTCAGTGTTGTTTAATGACATAAAAATCTCCTCCTGCTGTCTTTAACAGTCAAACATATCACCCTCAGTGGATCTTTTTTAATGGAAAGTGTAAATAAAGGCTGTTTCTGCAGCGTGACGTTAATTAATTCATCTGACACCAACCATGTCCCGGAGGTACAGACATAAAGAAAAGTAATATGTCTTCACTCTGATGGTCTCATTTGCTTTTGATAAAACAGAGTTTTGAAACTGAAATTCTGACATGTTTCAATATAATCTCCATTTATGAAAACCTGTTTCACCTTGCTGTTTAAACAGTGAAACAGCTTGCTCTGATGTTTAGCTTCTTGCAGAGTGAAGTGAAAGAGGCTGCCTCTGTGAATCTGTTGTAAAAGTGTTCTGCTCACCTTGAAGTCGAACTGGATGTCCATGTACTTGCCGAAACGGCTCGAGTTGTCGTTACGCAATGTCTTGGCATTGCCAAAGGCCTGGAGGGAGGAGAGAGCAGGAGGAAGAAAGGAGAGAGAGGAGTGAGGACAGAAAGATGAAGAGGTAGAGAGATGGAGTTTGATGAAGACAGAGAGGTGAATGAGGGGGTGAGCAGTAAGAAACAAAGTTATATCTGCAGTGTTTGTTTCAGACAGCAGCACATATTGCAGGACACATACAAACACACACACTTCTGTAGGGCATCTGGTAGAGACACTCCAGACACCAAATCAAGCATTTCTGTAAACTCTCTCTCCATCCTCCAAAACCCATCGTACACACAGATAACCAACAATCTGGGGTTTCATTTATAAAGCAGTGCGTAGAATTCATACTAAAAGTGTAGGTACAGCAAAAACCTGAAAATGGCGTGCACCAAAAAAAAAGGATTTACAAAACCATACATACGCACACCTGCAGGCAATAATCCCTTTAAAAATCTGAATATGTGGGCACATGGATCAGCCTCATATTCCTCCCCTGACTCCCCCTCCGCCCACTTTCAACCATGAACGGTCAATGCAAAGCACCTCTAAATAAAAACAACTGCTGACAGATAAAAGGTTTGATCCCTGATTGTGTTTACAAAAGGCGAACAATACTATGAGCTTGATGTGAAAAATTATGTAAATTCATTCAAAAGAATTTGGAAAATATAACTATAATTATATTAAACTACTAGTAAAATATAAATATGAGATGTTTTTATAGTGAGAAACGTGTGCAGCTTTGTAGAAATGTGCATTAACCAGAGTAGGATGGTTTGCTGGATGGGAAATAAGTTGACTAGAAAGAGACACAGAAAAAAGACTAAATGTGCTTTAATGTGAAGCCTTTGAGTATTTCTGCACATACTGTACACTTTATCTTAAATTGACAGCTATATCATATCATTCTGGTGTTTCAAACTTTATGCACTTTATTTTAAAATCAATAGTTTGAAGGTTATTTTGTGGATTTGGGTTTCCACTGGCTTTAAATCTGTTTTTTTTGCTGTTTTACAAAATAAAACTTCTCACAGATTTATCGACTGCGGCGTGGTCTCACCTCCAGCACTGGGTTGGACTGCAGCAGGCGGTCTTTGACGGTCTGCACCTGATCGCTTGCTGGACAGGTGACAGCATAGTACTGCAGGATCTTCTTTGAAGCCTCCGTCTTACCAGCACCGCTTTCCCCGGAGATGAGGATGCACTGGTCCTTCCTCTCTGTCCTCAGGGAGCGGTACGAGTTGTCTGCCACGGCATAGCTGCAGGAGCACAGAGACAGATTTAATCAGAACGATGTTTTTGTCAGGACTTTGATTTTTAAATGGGAGATTAAGTTGAATTTAGGCTGTGTCAGGTTTGACAGATACATAACCACTCGACCAGAGTGATGCATAGTCAGCACAGACATGTGGATGTTAACCTGCAGGGAGGAGTTAAGGCTAGCGGTGCTAGCACTGTTCATGTTACCACAATCTGCAGACCAATTTGACACTGTTTCCCTGCAGAGTAAAAAAAGCCCCAACGTGCCAATCATTTCAGCTGCATTTAAAATAGCTGTCAATTAGGGCTGGGAGTCTTTGGGTGTCTCAAGATTCGATTCGATTTCGATTCTTGGGGTCACAATTTGATTCAGAATCGATTTTCGATTCAACACGATTCTGGGTTCATGATTCAAAGTCTGTTTTTCAATTAATACATACTTCAGGATCTACTCCAGTCATCTATGAGACTGGCTGAATTTCGTGTTGCTGTATATGGCATTCTACTGACTTAAAGAGCTATTTTGCAGGGAGTGACTGATAAGCCCCAAAAATTTTTATAACAATAAAAAAATAGATTTTTGGAAATTATGAATCGATTTTAAATCTTAGAAGAGAAGAACCTCGATTTTTACATAAATCAATTTTTTTGTCCACCTCTGCTGTCAATTATGTTATTAACTAACTGTTTAGTGTCTGTAGAATTAAGATGATACTGTTTCAGACAGTGTGTAGCCATGTTAAATAACCCATGCTCTATTTTGTCTGCTTCCTGAGTGTTTTCTTATCTTTAGACTTCTCCACTTGTCTGAATTTTAATTTCCATTTGATTTAAAGGGAAATGAGTCACTAGGAACATCTCTGGTCATGTTGTTGATGTTCCGTTTAAAAAAATGTAGCATACCAACTCTGTTGGAAAAGTGGCGTCTGGTTGTGACATATGATGTCATCTCAGAGTGTGTGACCAGTCGGACAGAGAGAGAGCTGCCAGTGTGAATCATAAAGTCCAGACACAAGCACAGAATCATTATTCAGCCTGCCTCTGCTATCAGCATTGTTCAGATGTTTGGACACATATTTGAAACAAGACTAATGGATTGAAGATAAAGCCAGGTGGGCCCAACATGTGTGTCCACTATATGTGTGATATTTCAGGGGGGGGGTCTGTGGGGGTCAGGCTCAGGTCAGAGGAATCTCCTCTAAAAGGGAGGAAACTTCTCGCATGGTGCCATCATTTGCTTACTTTTCTTTCCACCTCTCCCTCCCGTGTTCTCTCTCCAACACTTCATCCCTTCTCCCCAAACAAACATCGTTCTTTCCACTCAGAGGGAGAGAAAACATTTGGCCTCATGCTCAAGTGGTGAAGTAACAAGAGAGAGAAACTAGCCGGGGGTTAGAGCTTAGAGATTCTGACAATACACCACTTTAACTCTCCATGACGCCATGGATTTTTCTGTCGCCGGCTGACCTATAGGGAAGGAATTCCCTCACATTTCCTGTCAAACAAACACTGTGCTTCATGCCAACACGCCTGCAAACTGTCTGAGTGAACATTGACCTCATTCACCAACATATTCCTAAGAATCTCCATAAGATTTGTTCTAAGTTGTTCTTTAGAAGATTTCTTAGAAGCCTCTCCATCAGATTCACCAACATGTTCTTAAATGACCTGTTGTTCCCAATTAGCTTAGGTAACCGCCCCCCGTAAAAGGGCATGAGTGAAGAGCCCTGCAGACAGACACACATGCTGGTAGCAAAAAGGTCGTGGAGATGACTAACGGAGGGCTAAAGAAGGAACCGATGGAGGTTATGATGCGTCCCCATGTACAGAGGCTGTAGTCCTCTTTGCAGCGGATCAGACCTCGGCCCTTTGCTGCAGGTCATCCAACCAATCGCTCTCCTCCAAACCCGTTTCTTTTTAGCTGTCCTATCCAATAAATGCTAAAACGGCCCCCCCCACAAAAACGTAAGGATGCACACCAGATAAAGTGGAAAAAACTGTTAGATCTAAAATCTGAGGGGCAAAGAAAAAAAACAGAACCAGAAGAGAGACACTGAACATATTCATTCACATGACTGTGGCCTACAATTATTCCAAAAGCTGACGCTGCACAGTGATGACCATGTCACAGATTTGTCAGTTCATTACCCGTGTGTGTAGGTAGGTACGTTTAGTCGTAAACACTTATTGATAACATTTATCTACAATTTGTTACCTTATTGCTTAGTTTATATTCATACCTAAATGTTTTGGGGTTTAGACTAAGCATAGCAGAAATGAATTTAAAGTTGACTTTAAAAGAACTTATATAAACATAAGTGGGTTTAAAGAAGACATTTCTTCCTGAGAACGGTTTGGTGCATGAGGCTCCATGGGAGCTTTAAGTACAAACCTGACTATGAGAAAATATTCCCATGAATACTAAACATAAACAGTGTGAAAACATTCAGAAAGCAGGTGCAGCAAACATGAAATCATCTTCATTAAAAAGCTTCAACAAACTCCAGATTTACAGTAAACAGGCTGTCCACAGTGAAGGATGTAAACTATGTTTAGCCAAATCTGATTTTTTTCTTTTTACCTGTAAGAACAAAAAACTACAATTAATCATTCCTCTTTGATTCATGATTGTTAAAAATGGAGGAACTTAACAGATTGTTAACAATCTCACAATCTGAGATCACAGTCTGTGGTCGTGCTCTATAAATGACATCAACACTTGCTCACAGTGAATTTACCTGAATATTTCCTGCTAGACACATCAGCTAACCCCAACTTCACAAGGAGGCTTTCAGGGAAAACTTTGGGTAAAGTAGGAGTGAAATATTCGTCTGCTTTGCGTTCACTCATGCAGCTAACCCAGAAATGTCATGATTTTTGTGTGAAAGCAAAAATTGCTGTGTACTGTAAAGTGTGCAGAGACTCTTACATGTGTGGGGAGACCTCGTAGAAGTTGACTCCTCGGTATCGCTCCATGTGGTTCTTGGTGTAGATCTCCAGGTCTTTGTATGGGTTCACAGACACCAGCACGGAGCCAATGTACGTCTGACAGAAAGGGAACATACAGTCACAATGCATCTCAAACACACAAAGATTTTATTCCATCAGGAGGTCTGATCAACAACAGTAAGCTAAAGAAACCTTTTTCTGCTACTTTAAAAGAAGGTTATGTCTTTAAAGGTTTCTGGGAGGAGAGAGTCCTGACATGGTTGGACAATGCTGTGCATTCTGGGTATTCATCTCAGATATTTTACAACTAAGAAGAAGATTGAGGGTGTACTAGAAGACTTTTGTCTCTCACACACTCAGAGTTTGACAGCCAGCACTCGGTCGTCCAAATTGGTAATCATCTATTTTCTACCATGATCAGGGAATCCAGCTCACTTTTATCCAGATGGTTCAAAGAAAAACTGGATAGGAGCAACCTGATGAAGGTACAGACTTTTAAGGATTTCTAAATCCAGATTAGCAGGGCCCTAATCCAACAGGATCCAGTTTGAAAGCAGCCCTCTGCTGGGATCAGGATGATCCTGATTTTCTGGATCATAGCTACTATATCTCAATCCCACTCAAATTTTAAACAACACAAACTGGAAGTTTGATCATGATAAAAAAAACAGGATCGGATTATCTAATCCTAACCGGTTACGTATATACTTTTTTTATTTAAAAAAACCTGACTGAAAGATTGACTCATATCCGATAGCTTGAATCCTGTTAGATGACTTTTGACCAACCAGATGGAAAATATCTTTAAATTTAAGCTTTAAACATGGAAACTGATAAAAACGTCAAATATCATTAATGCATTAATCTGGTTCAAATAATCAAACAAAGGTAAACTCGTGACACTCACATAGATGAGGTTCTCTTTGAAGCGTTTGCGCAGGTTCTCTATGAAAGCCGCCTCGCTGGTGTAGTTCTCCAGCAGGACAAAGTCCTGCACGCCCACCCGGTCTCTGGCTGTCAGGGCCGACTCCATCATAGCCCGGACACCGTCACTAGCCACCACCTGGAGGAGAACCAGCAGGTTAGTGAATAAGATAAATACAATACGTTTGTGTAACACTTCATCGATCGAACTCTGCTTGTCCCAAGCCGACACGCGCACACGCGCACACGCGCACACACGCACACACGCACACACGCACACACGCACACACACACGCACACGCTCCTCCTGATCTCTGCCTGGTGGCGCACACACATCTCTCCTCTCCCCTGCTTGTATTTTGACGGATGGATTTTGATTATCCATCCTCAGAGGCGAAGGAATGAGGAGGAGAGTAAAACATCAATTTACATCACACCAACTAAGAGATGCAAAAAAAATAAAAAATTCCATCCATCCATTATCTATACCGCTTGTCCCATTTGGGGTTGTGGGGGCAGGAGCTGATCCCAGCTGTCATTGGGTAAGAGGCGGGGTTACAGACTAGACAGGTCACTTGTAAATTACAGGGCTGACACAGAGACAGACAAACTTTAAACACACTCACACCTACGGGCAACTTACAGTCACCAATTAACCTAACTAGCATGTCTTTGGACTGTTAGAGGGAGCTGGAGGACTGGAAGGGAACCCAAGTGCATTGTGAAGAACATGCAAAACTCCACACAGAGAGGCGCTGTCTTCCCTGGCAACACCTCTAACCACTGACTGAAGGTGGAGATATAGAATCAGGTGTGGAATTCAAACTATGACACAGATGATATCTTCTTTTTTTTACCACAGGGCAGGAAAAAAAAGATGCTTGAGAAGACAGATGGAAATGGGGCAACATGTCGATGACATTGTGGAAATATTCTGACTTTTTTAGATTAACATAATGTGATTTGTAAAAAAAAAAAAAAAAAAAATGTTAAGGGAAGGGAATATTCACTGATCCATCTTTGCACCTTATTTACACAGAAGAAGGGTAAGAAAAGCTGAGATGCCAACTTGCTACTTTTTCCTTTCTTATTTTTTTCCTGGCTCTATATGAGACACATTTTATAATTTTATCCAAAGCGGTTGCCCAGTGTCAGATCACACATGAGCCAATCTTAACAAGCAAAAAGTACAGAAATGTAGTCAATGATGAAATCAAAGGATCCTTTAATGTTTTCATGCAATTGCAATATCTGTTGATATGATCAAATCAATGAGTTAAGACAAGAGGGCACCTCTTCCAACAAACTAAACTCATCCTCTGCTTATTAGTACTACGAGAAGAATCCCCAGGATGTGAGGCCTCTGTCTTAAAGCTGTATTATGATGAAAGCCTCTCTGATACAAGAAGCTCTCCACATAAATACTGAGGGAAAAATGTTATGACAGAATACAAACACTTATCAGGGACCAAGAGAGATAAAGGGCCTGAAAGTCACTTGGTTCACTAAATAACTGTGCTGGACAAAAATTCAGAATAAAAGCATTGTGTTAAAATGTGGCTGCTAGTCTCATCATTTACGTGCTGGACATCTCTGGATAGCTCGAACTATGCTCATGAGTCACAAATCGACTTGTTTAGTTCATCGTTCACAAAGAGTATTTGCACGTTCACTGAATGCAGCACACGAGAACTTAGATCTGACCAATTAGACTCGGTGTGGTTGCATTGAAAACATGATGTGGAATTTCAGTGATGTGGGCATTTAGGCATTCATTAAATCTCCAAATAAAAGTCAAAGCCTGGAGTCAACGTTTGTTGCAGTACAACCATTTGCACATCCGTCAGCTCTTCCTGTCCCTTTAGCTCGAGCATCACATCTTTTGGGACTCTAGTGAAAATCTGAACCCCCCCTCTCTCAACCAACAATAGAGCACATTCAGACCGATGCCAAGAACCACCGTTTGAAGTCTTAAAACATTCACAGACCCCAAACTAAAAAACAAAGAGAAGACTTTCTGTTTGTCCAAAGTTTTCTTTGAAACAACCCCTTGGTCATTTTATGTCCCTGAGAAAGTTCAAACACAGATGAGGAAACGCATCACTCAAAGCAAAAATGCATTACAGCCAGGCTGCACCATGTCTTAAAATACATAGCAGAAGTTAAGACTCAGAAGCGAGCACAGCAACACTTACATGCTTGAGATCATCGACACGTTTGCCAAGGAAGCCGTTTTCTAAAATAGAGACTTGAGTTTTACGCATGAGATTGCGAATGTTAGCCACATCCATATTTAACTTGTAGTGAAACAGACAGAGCTGACAACGAGTTGACTTTTACTCGAAGGTTAGTGGCCGAGGCAACTGAACTGGGACACACACACACAGAGTGCAGCAGGTGTTGTTGTTGTGCTGAGCAGTACAGTACCCAGTCTTCATCCCTCAAGAGAGAAAAACAGAAAATAAAAGAAAGACAGAAAGAAAGAGAAGAGAAATGAAAGCTTGAGGGAGGAGAGGACTGTTAATTAGTGCTCTGTGAGACAGGAGGGAAAAGGAGAGATGGAGAGAGACAAAGAGAGAAGAGTGGAGATAAAGCCTGGGGTTGTTTTAAAATGATGAACAAGAGAAGTATTTAAAAAGTAGTCAAAAGTGTACAAGAAGGAGGAGGTGTCAAATAAAGGGGGCTAGCATGGTTAGCATTATCTCATGCCACAGATCCTTATTCCCTGCTAAAGAGCATAAAAAGAGCTTCAATCTGGCAGCATTATCACAAGATACCACCCTGGAGCAGAAGATTAATACCAGGGTCATAACTCCAGTCCAGCTACATCGCTCCTTTTAAACTGTACAGGAAAAATAACAATACTCCCTGAAATTCCTCACAGCACTGCCCCCAAACACCAAACACATTAATACATCTTATGTGTGATACCTTTCTGATATCACATGTTTTAAAACGATACAATCTCTCTTTATTTTAATGAGCAAAAGTACTGAAAAGAACCAAAGCTATTAAAAAAATGACATGTATTTCATGAGAGAGGAATGAATCCATCAAAAAAATGGAAGCAAACAAGCTATGCTTTTGTGTAGTTTATACAATATGCAGGATTGTGCCTGTAATTTATGTTAATGTAAAACAATAATTATCCAATACTGAGTGCCTACAACTTCTATTTTTGTTGTTACCTTCAAACAGTTAATGATTTAATTCGATTTTTACGAGAATCATGTACAATTTTACAATTCTGTTGTCGTGACAACCTTACTGGTAACAAACAATGCTGGTCAGATACACACACACACACACTTGGTAAATGAGGTTGAGCTTATATAGCCCTTTTCCACCGCAGGTCATACCTACACATTCACACACTGATGGTAGAGGCTGCTGTGTAAAGAGTTCATCAGAAGTAATTAATCCCATTCATACACATTCACACGCCACTGAAGAAGCAGTGGGAGCAACTTGGGGTTAAGTGTCTTTCCCAAGGACACATCAGACATGTAGCTGCAAGGAGATGGGGATCAAACCCTGACCCTCGAGTTAAGAGACGAACGACTCAACCAATGAAGCCACAGTCGCCCCCTCTATCAGCCAACACCCCCCTCTCCCCCCACACCCACACATACAGCTGCAGTGTCTTTGCTTTCTGCAGGGATGTGTGAATCTAAAGGTCAGCAGAGCTCACAGCGTCCTGTGTGACAGAAACAGATGTTTTAGATGTAGGAAATGCAAACTCATGCATGTTTGTGTTATAATGATTTACAATGTCTTCTTAAACTATTTGTTCTTTTGTCTCTCTGGTTGATTTTGCAGCGCACTTTGTTACCGTGGTAATAGTAAGTGAAGTTGAGTGCTGCACAGAAACACTTGATGAGAAGCTTATTAATCAGAAAACAGCAGCTGGTGTTTGTGTTCACGCTGCAGCTAAACAAACTGACATTGTTTTTTATCAGAGGTCGGTTTTTATTATCCGCTTGAAGAGAGTTTGATGACCTGTTGCTGTGACATAGGACTGAATTACTTATGAGTATTACAGTGAGACTGGGTAACAAACAAATTAATGGCCCCAGTTTGTTTTTTTACTGAACCTGTAGAAAAACATTTTGGTCGTATTTTTAACCATTAACAAGTTTCTAATTAGCATAGAAATGAGTAACAAAGTGGCTTTTATTCACACACACACACACACACACTCACGCCGCTGAGTCCGTTTTGCCTCGGTTACTATCTCCGAAGCATAACCAATTTTTCCCCACACCAGGGACACAAGAGTATGATCTTGGACTGTCAATGTCAAAGGGACTTGAGGCTTTTAAAGAGACAAGAAACATCATGAGGTGATTATGAGAAATCTAAAAAATAAAGACTAACTTCATGTGTTTGCTGTTTCTGCTCTTTTACTGGCTGTTAGATTTATACAGTATCTATATCCAAATTTAAACTATGCAGATATTATGGCAGTCTGAGAGTTAAGGGGGTCACATTTCTCTCAATATCTGTCTCCCCCAAACATTCGGCTTTTTCTCTCCTGAAGGTGCATTTAAAGTACTAAGGTTGTCAAAATTTTGGATCCTTTTCTAAATCATGTGTTTTAAAACAATGAAATCTCTGGGACTTTTCGATGCTCTATGGGTTAAAATAACGCTTTTCTTTTTTTTTTTTTTTACAGCTTCAGTGCAGAAGTTGCATCGTTTTTTAACACGTGGTATCGAACACTGACAGCATTATTTGCAGCTTCTTGTTAATTCTTTCTTTTCTGAGGATCAGGGAGGTGGATACACTGCCTTTCCCTTCCAGTGTAGGATCTGTGTGCTGCAGAGGAAAGAATTACGTGACAGCAGGTTCTTAGACTGAAGGTGAAATAATTCATCATCTGGAAACAGGTTAAATTAAAGTTAAGAGGAGCAAAAGTGACTTCAAAATGTCATGGTGTGTTAGAAATCCCTCCAAATATGACGGCGCCTGGGAGGAAAGAAAAACCAGAGCCTTGTTTCCTCACCTCTCCCCTCCTCTTCCTCCTCCATACATTCTACCTCTTATTCACTTTCAGTCCCCTCAGCTTCTCTCTCCATTACTTCATTGTTCCCCTGCGCTGCTTTTCACTGTTTGGCTTTCCTGCATGTAGCGCTGCAC